CTCAGCAGGAAACAAGAACTTAGAGCTCCCTTTTGTTACCATTTAAGCTGTCCGTGGATCTGGCCATTGAAATGTCTGGGGCCTTCCAGGCCCATGTGAAAGCAGAGGATGCCAACCCTAGGCAGCTGCAGACTGTGCTGTGCTGCACATCCATGGAAAAAGACTGAGGAATTTCCATCCCCAGAACTTTAGTCCTGCTGCTGCCGTCGTCTGATCCCAGGCAAACACAGCATGGCTGCGCGTGCCCAGATGGCATTCAGCTGCTGCAGCTCAAAGCAGTGAGGCCTTCAGGTCGCTGCACTGCCTGTCACACACTTGTGCAGGATGCTGGCTTCACTGCTCACATTCTCACATGTCCGTGAGTGCCTAAGCAATGTAACGTGGTCTGGAAACTGCACAGTTGTCTCCTTTCTATCCTCCTTCCCTGCTCTCTTCCTCCTGCTCCCCCTTGCGGGGTTGTTTCTGCACCTTTCCTACCTTCCTGTGCCTTTTGTTCTGCTTTCCTTTAGCCCATGCCCACATGCAGCAATGCCCCAACAGCAGTTTGCTTCCTGCTGTATCCTTGGGACTGATCTTTTCCATGCTGCTGGCAGCCTCAGGCCAGCCAGGTGCCTCCACCTTTGAAAGAAAAGCCACTTTCTGCTTCCACAGCTCACTTTATGTATCACCCATTCTACTCCCCTGGCAGGGTTACAAATGTAGGACAACTGTGGCACAGGGTGCCCCATTTCTAGGGCAGAAGAGTGGCTGTACTGAGTTTTTTTACCAGCAGCAGTCTGAAAAAGTCCAGAAGGGTTTAGGTTTACTACCTGGGACTAGAGACAGCTTCTACTGAGGCAGAGAAACTGCTCCGAGTGACTGCTACAACCCAAAGGGCCTTCAAACTTTAGCCCCTATGACAGTCAACCCTGGATGTCTTCAAGGCCAGGCTGGATGAGGCTTTGAGCAACCTGGTCTAGTGCAAGGTGTCCCTGCCCATGGCAGAGGGGTTGGAACTAGATGGTCTTTAAGGTTCCTTCCAACCCAAACCGTTCTGTGATTCTATGATGTCATGCCATGCCCCAGGCCTACGCTCTGCCCTCAGCTTCAGGCTGAACACCATGTGCTGTGGTTACTCAAAGCCGTATGAATTTGGACCCTGTCTTATGAGGTAGCAGGTTTAAGCGATTGCTCTTTAATGGCTGTGGTGTTCTTTGTTTCAGGAAGCTGAGACCATCACCAGGTCTTGCAAAGACAAAACGAAAGTAAAGAAGAAACCAGCCTGCAGCCCTGGGGGAGTGTTTGTGAGGCTACGCTGAGGAAGGACCCTGCGACGACGGGCAGCCTGAGGAGGTAGAACGGGAGCTCAATAGACAGTGCAATGTGTTTGTGCAGCCCAGCTCCACAGATGAGTGGTGGTTCTCTACACTTAATTAAACTATTTTTTAGTTCTCTGGGATAGAAAATATTTAAAAATCACAGCAGCAGCATTTTTTATTAAAAAAAAAAAAAAAGGCAGAAGGACTTCTCTTCCTGCCCCGGTAATTGTTTAGCAGCAGCTTTGTGAATTATAAGGTGACATTTTGAGTTAACTGCAGCAATGTCACAGACCCTCCTAGGCCTGAGTATCCCCATCCACTCACCCGGTTTGTAGTACTGCCCTAGGAGGAAAAACCCCAAAGCACCTTACCTCCTAAAATAATCAGATAGGACCTTCAGTGTGGAACCAGAATACGGCTCTGGGAGAAGAGCTTCTCAGCTGCAGATGGGTGCCAGGCCCCTGATTTTCATCTTCAAGTCATTCCCAAGTAAGGCAGGAATGAGGTGCCAGATGAACTGCAGTGCTGGGCCTCCAAGTTTAACTTGGGGCTGAAGAGTTCCCTGGGTTATGGGGCAGGTTGTGGTTAGTAACGGCAACGCTGATATCCCCTCCGTGCCTCAACCACATTTCATGACTTCACATATAAAGGTTTTTCTCTCATCTGTGCCCTACTGAGAAATTCGTTTCGCTTTGGAACCCACCTGATGCACAGTATTTTGAGAGGTTTGGTTTCAGCAGGGAATCCTTGCACTGTAAGGTTACTTTGCTAGTGCTGGAATCCTGATCTGTCCTCTCCTTAGTTACCAAAAAACTTAATCTGAGAATTTTAAAGGCATTGAAAAAAAAAGATCAGTTAGGTTTTGTGTGCCCAGCCCGAGGGAGCAGCACGCTGAGTGACAGCGTAAGCCTTGTATCAGAGCTGAAGGGGAGAAATTCAGTCTTGAGAGCCCACTTCAGTGCTCAGGGAGGATGGTGGTGAAAAGCTGCAGTAGATGAGCCATGTCCTACATCACTGCTGGTGCTAGATTATCATGTAGGAACAATACAAAAGATCAATCCAAGTCATTCCGCATCCAGCGAAGGACAACGGAGCTGGGGAAGGCTCTGGAGCACAAGTTCTGTGGGGAGGGGCTGAGGGAGCTGGGGGTGTTCAGCTGGAGAAGAGGCGGCTCAGGAGCGACCTTATCACTCTCTACAACTGCCTGAAAGGAGGGTGCCGAGGGGTGGGGGTTGGTTTCTTCTCCCAAGTGACAAGTGATAGAACAAGAGGAAATGACCTCAAGTTGCACCAGAGGAGGTTTACATTGGATATCAGGAAAAATTGCTTCATGGAAAAGGCTGTCAGGCATTGGAACGGGCTGCCCAGGGAAGTGGTGGAGTCACCATCCATGGAGAGATTTAAAAAATGCATGGATGTGGTGCTGAGGGACATGGTTTAGTGGTGGAGTTGGCAGTGTGGGCTTTACAGCTGAACTCGATCCTAAGGGTCTTTTCCAACCCAAACAATTCTGTCACTCAGAGAACCTCAGGAATGGTTATCGCTTACAAGAACACGGATTTGGGCACGCAACAGTTACAACAGACACAAGTGGCTGCCAGCACCCACACCTCTTTGACAGTCACTCAGATAGCAAATGTAAGAAATTAATTTTATTTTCTTAAATGAAAACGATAATAATTTAATGCACAGAATGTAAGAATTGGCAGGATACCAGCTAGTTCAACTGTAAACAAAACAACAATAAAAAAATTGCCACTGATGGGTACTACATACTCTTTAGCCCATAAAGTGCCCTTAGAAGAGCCTAGAAAGGGTTCTTAAAAGTTTAACCCAGGGGGGGGAAAAAAAAAATCAGTATTTTATTAAAAGAGTCAAACCAAGCATATGCATTTGTACTCAACAAGGTGTAACTGCTTAGTCTGGGAAGGCATCCATCTGCCACATCCCATCCCTGCAACGAGAGGCCTCACAGAAGGTGGAGAGGCCACCTGTCCCACAGGATTGTGGAACAGGCCCAAGGAGAGTGGAGATGGGAGGAAGATGACCACCACCAGTCACACCAGCACCACTGAGATGCTGAATATTCCCATGTGATAAGCCAGATCCTACACCCAGAAAACGTGAGGGTTTATTAGAAGTACTCTGCGCTACTTGAAGGGGGGAGTTAAGAGCACTGATCTGCCCCAGGGCTGGACAGATGTCTCTCCCCTTGGAAAGACAAAGGCAGCGAAGTTCTACCTTTCTGCTGCCCTCTGGAGTTATGGAAACTGTGGGAGATACTAAAAAAAAGAAATCTCTAGAGCTATTTTAGTTCTACATGAGATTTTAAATTTATGTAAACCAGTTTTTAAGAAAAAACAAGGATTATTTGGTAAAGGTCTTGGAGTGTGTGATTATAAATAAATAAAAAACCCAAAGGGCCAGGCTTCAATCCAGCAGAAGAGAGGAACAGGCCACAAGTCCAGCTCCTATATTTAAGATTACTCTACCTGGATCAGAGTACATCTATTGCAATCTGGCATTAGTATTCCCACACTGGGAACACTAACTTGGGAAGAGTATTTCCATTTCAAGGGCATATCAAATGTTCAATATTTCCATTTTGAAAGGAGCTGAGAATGTTTCAAAGAGAAAACAAAATTAATTCTAAAACATACAAGGGAACACTTCCTGATCTGGCATAAGAAGTCCTTTGAAATCCATACAGTATTCAGTAGGGGACAATGGAATATTACTGTTTGCCTACTTCCCCCCCCAGTTATTTAGATCTTTAGTGTTACGTGTTCGGAAAACATTTTAAGTGCACAGTAAGAATCCCAAAACAAAAAGGTACCGAGGTTCACTACGGCGCAAACACGGTTGTCAAGCCGATGTTGCCTGGGCGGCCTTTTCTCCAGCTGCGTTTGATCTATTTCCAGAACCTGTAAAATCCCAGTGCTATTGCTAAGCAAGTGAATACTGAAGCTGTGGAAAAAAACATACAAGAAAGGAAATAATTAGCTGAATGCTAAATTGCATCACCTTCCACATCCAAGCAATTAGCTGCGGATGGCACGACGGTAACTCCAGAGCAGAGCCTCCTGGGCTTCCTGCGTTGCTGCAGATCCAGCTGCCTGAGGAGCTGCGTTTTCAGGGACACACCTGAGTAACTATGCTGGATAATACAGCACACGACAGGCTACGCTGTCCCTACTGTCACCCATTTATCGGGAACTGTATTACAGGAGAGACAGTAAATTAAAAGAAAATTAAGAACATGTCCATGTCCTAATCCCACATCTGGGCACAATCCCAGTCTAACTCCAGCAGCGTCTGCATGTTCCCATCTCTTCTGTGCTTTCTTGTCCCATTCTTTCCAGCTGGAAGGGGATGTCCCCACCCAACCCCAGCTGTCTGCTGCTACACAACTGACTTCTGAATAGAGATACACATCCAAGCCACCGTGCTGGCACTCACCTCCTTGCCTGCTACGCACCTGCCAAATAGCGTATCGTATCGAGTTTATTCGACTCCATGAGCGTTTTTAAGGAAGCTATTTCCGTGTCTATTTTATTGCTGATTTCTGAGATGACACTGTTGGTACTTGAATCCTGAAACGTGAACAGACAGCGTGTATTTGGCAACGATCTCCAGCCCTTTCAGCTTTGCAAAGCCAAACAATACCGTGCTACCAGCCGCAAGAAGGAGAAACAAATTGCCAGCCTATCAAGTACGTAAGTGGTAAGAGACCTCAGAAGACACAGAACTGCATTTAACACGATCCAAGGAGAGGAAAGAGTGAGATAGGAAAAGAGAAAATGGATCATACAGATGTTTTGTCTCGGATGTGCCAGCACCTACCGAAGGAGGCGTTCGAGACTACATACGTGGCACCCCTACATTTTTGCGAAACAAAGGTTTAAGCATTCACAAGCCAATCCAGAAAAGGGTGGAGACACTGCAGATGGGGCACATCCACCACCAGCCTCAGACCGCATCTGCTAGCAGCTTTCAGGATTTCCAGCCCTGGAAATCCTTGCTTGGCAGTAGCCACCGGCACCGCCCCTCTGGTACAGCTGATGAGCTCATCCGTTAATACTGGGAAGGGCAGCAGGACGGCGCACATCCCACCTCTAACAGCCTGCACGCAAGGTGCTCGGGAGGCGAGAGAAAAGGCTTGTGTGCCTTCTGCCCGAGCAGAGCGCAGTGCAAGCCCCACAGACCTCATCAAAATGAGCTTCGTTCACGACTTACTTTCTTATGAAACTCTGTAGTTGCTTCCATCAGTTTCCTCTCCTGATCTGTGAACTGTGGATAAAAGAAAAATCACAGCTGTGGAACAGAAAGCAAGATGCAGAAGTGGCAGGGGTGTCTTCACAGACCAGCTTACCATATCCGTCACTCTGCTCCTTTCCAGGTTGATGTCTAGCTTGCTGTCAGCTCGGATTTTACCCGTTTCATTCTGCAAAGCAAACAGAGATTATGAAAATAGGTATTTACTTGCCCTAAGGGAATTGTGTAGGTACTTGCTGTTTACTTACCATTAGCTGCTGTTTAACTTGATCTAATTCAATTTTCATTTTCTAAGTGTAAAGGAGAAAAAACAAACAAATAAACAAGATGTTACACATTCAGAAAACTGCTGACCAAGTTAATCAGTCACAGGGGTGTTACCCACCCCATGCACACAATAATTCCTCCATAATTTTTCTCCCAACAGGTCAATTTGTTCTTGGTTCAATATCCTAACCAGTGGGTTCAATCTGTATAGCCATATATAATCTGCTGAGAATTTTGCTCAAAATAAAGGGATTACTTTGTAATGATGATGATCTTGTTATTCTGAGGCTAAAGACAGCAGAAAAATACCAAAATGGTGTCAAACAAAAAGGAAACGCATCCCAATCACCAGTTTAATTAAACTGTTGACAAGAAACAGCTGACAACTCTCCCTGCAGTGTGTGGTTAATGATGACAAAGCTGCACCCGAATCACCCTTAACTGAAGATACAGAAGATGCTTCTAAGATGTGTAGTTTTTTTCCTCTTTACAGAAGAACTGAGCAAGTTTTATCATGATCTTTATGTGATCACAGGAGCTATAATCCACAAACACAACAGGTACAACCTGCTGTGCATTCCAATTTAACTGCTTAATTAAAAACATCAGTACCTCGTTCTCTGCCCTCAAGTTTGCAAATTCACTTTTCTCCAGGATGACCATATCTTTTCGAATGGAGTCCAAATGGGCCATTATCTGCTGTAAAGTTATTTCCTGCGACAAAATAAAACGCGTCAATGATTAAGTTGCACACTTTCTGGTAAGCAAAGATTGTAAGGTCTGAAATCATGAAGTTGACTACTGCAAAGCACAAAAATGGGGACACAAAACTTCAGGTTAGTTCTTCATTCTCTTTGCTTTTCAAAGAACATTTAGTAGCCTATGAAGCATTAATTGTTGGTTTGAATCTGGTTCCTAAGGAAGCACTTGCATTTCTTGCCCACAAAGTCATCACAGGCCAAAGACTTAATGATACAAGAATCACACTGTCCTCTCCGCATTAAAGTCTGAGGGACACTAGTAAAACGTGGCTGAACAGCAATGAAAAAAGCTTTCCTGGTGCTTGGACCAACAGATTCCGAATTCAACTGCTATTTATAAACCACAGAGTAAAAAAGAAATAAGGAAAATAAAGGAAGAAACTTTGTGGTTTAGAACCTCAAAAGTGATACTCCTTCAGCTGGAATAAGGAACTTATCCTACTGCTTGGCACGGAAAACAACATCTCTGGGATTCTGCCTTTAAAGCTGTGCACCAGCAAAAGGAAGAACTCCCATTCAGACTACAAGCAACCAGTATTTATCAGATCCTATGTTGAACTAAATTCCTTAAGATATGCCCTGACCCAACGTCCACTGTAGGCTATTTTGTTGAACACAATGAAGTTTTTACAATTCCTGGGAGAACTTCAGTTGCGTTTACTCCAAGGAGCTCATTTCCCGCATCCCATCTTAAAACATCCAGCCTCAACACTGCCCACACTGTAAGAACCAGTGCTTCTGTCTAACATAACTCCGTGCAAATTATAGCCAGGATACTGACTCTTTACATATAACAGGACCTCCAAAAAGAAAGATTTCCATTTTGTTGAAAAAAATAGAGACCAAAGTTCCTGTTTTCTTTTGAAACTTATAGAAAAAATTAGGTAACCTTTATTTAGAATGATTGCCAGTAAGGTAAACGTCTGTAGGAAGTAAGGCTCAGCGGTTTAAAACAAAACAGCCCTGAATGTGCGATTGCATTAACTCACTGAAGAAGAATGGCACGTAATTTCAGCTCGCACAGCTCTCCCAAGTCCTTTTTAACACCATCCCTGTGCATCAGAGCTTTCTTATCCCGGCCCAGATGCCTAGCCTACAAGAAAAACTAAACTTCTTTTCATTCTGGCAATTTGTAAAGACAAAACTTGTCATCACCTTTTCCACCAACAGCAAAACCAGCCACGCTACGTAACTGCTTCCCTGCCTCACGGTACATCCACGGACGTCAGCCTGAATGCCGAAGCGAAGGAGGCAGCTCGATGCTTTGCTTGAGCCGAGGTGCCGACCTGACAGTGCCAGCAGCTGGGTTTATACCAGCAATGAAACAATTCACAGGCCAGGGGCTGTGCTGGTTTTAGTAGGGACAGAGTTAATTTTCTTCACAGCGGCTAGTATAAGGCCACGTTTTGGATTTGGGCTGAGAAGAGTACTGATACATTGCTATTTTTAGTTGTTGCTAAGGCACGTTTGTACCAATTCAGGACTTTTTCAGCTTCTGATACTGCACCCGTGTTTACAACTTATTCGCTACAAGAAAGCTGGGAGGGGACACAGCCAGGAGAGCTGACCCAACCGGTATTTAATTCCGTAAAATATCACACTTAGTAGATAACTGATAACCCACGCTCGGTGTTGGGACCAGTACTGTTTA